ACGATCCTTCGCAGTAAAGCACTATTTGAGCAATAGTGGAAATCAGACCTGAAAAAAATTTCAGGCCTGTACGGGATTCGAACCACTGACCTCTGCGATACTAGTGCAGCGCTCTACCAATTGAGCTAACAAGCCAACTGGGAGCAGGCCATCAAATTAATTCGACATAAACCCGTAGATGATAAATCAAACAACAACAAACATATGAAACATATGTGTGAACTGCGGTTATGAGACGTATATGAGCACGATCCTTCGCAGTAAAGCACTATTTGAGCAATAGTGAAAATCAGACCTGAAAAAAATTTCAGGCCTGTACGGGATTCGAACCACTGACCTCTGCGATACTAGTGCAGCGCTCTACCAATTGAGCTAACAAGCCAACTGGGAGCAGGCCATCAAATTAATTCGACATAAACCCGTAGATGATAAATCAAACAACAACAAACATATGAAACATATGTGTGAACTGCGGTTATGAGACGTATATGAGCACGATCCTTCGCAGTAAAGCACTATTTGAGCAATAGTGAAAATCAGACCTGAAAAAAATTTCAGGCCTGTACGGGATTCGAACCACTGACCTCTGCGATACTAGTGCAGCGCTCTACCAATTGAGCTAACAAGCCAACTGGGAGCAGGCCATCAAATTAATTCGACATAAACCCGTAGATGATAAATCAAACAACAACAAACATATGAAACATATGTGTGAACTGCGGTTATGAGACGTATATGAGCACGATCCTTCGCAGTAAAGCACTATTTGAGCAATAGTGAAAATCAGACCTGAAAAAAATTTCAGGCCTGTACGGGATTCGAACCACTGACCTCTGCGATACTAGTGCAGCGCTCTACCAATTGAGCTAACAAGCCAACTGGGAGCAGGCCATCAAATTAATTCGACATAAACCCGTAGATGATAAATCAAACAACAACAAACATATGAAACATATGTGTGAACTGCGGTTATGAGACGTATATGAGCACGATCCTTCGCAGTAAAGCACTATTTGAGCAATAGTGAAAATCAGACCTGAAAAAAATTTCAGGCCTGTACGGGATTCGAACCACTGACCTCTGCGATACTAGTGCAGCGCTCTACCAATTGAGCTAACAAGCCAACTGGGAGCAGGCCATCAAATTAATTCGACATAAACCCGTAGATGATAAATCAAACAACAACAAACATATGAAACATATGTGTGAACTGCGGTTATGAGACGTATATGAGCACGATCCTTCGCAGTAAAGCACTATTTGAGCAATAGTGAAAATCAGACCTGAAAAAAATTTCAGGCCTGTACGGGATTCGAACCACTGACCTCTGCGATACTAGTGCAGCGCTCTACCAATTGAGCTAACAAGCCAACTGGGAGCAGGCCATCAAATTAATTCGACATAAACCCGTAGATGATAAATCAAACAACAACAAACATATGAAACATATGTGTGAACTGCGGTTATGAGACGTATATGAGCACGATCCTTCGCAGTAAAGCACTATTTGAGCAATAGTGAAAATCAGACCTGAAAAAAATTTCAGGCCTGTACGGGATTCGAACCACTGACCTCTGCGATACTAGTGCAGCGCTCTACCAATTGAGCTAACAAGCCAACTGGGAGCAGGCCATCAAATTAATTCGACATAAACCCGTAGATGATAAATCAAACAACAACAAACATATGAAACATATGTGTGAACTGCGGTTATGAGACGTATATGAGCACGATCCTTCGCAGTAAAGCACTATTTGAGCAATAGTGAAAATCAGACCTGAAAAAAATTTCAGGCCTGTACGGGATTCGAACCACTGACCTCTGCGATACTAGTGCAGCGCTCTACCAATTGAGCTAACAAGCCAACTGGGAGCAGGCCATCAAATTAATTCGACATAAACCCGTAGATGATAAATCAAACAACAACAAACATATGAAACATATGTGTGAACTGCGGTTATGAGACGTATATGAGCACGATCCTTCGCAGTAAAGCACTATTTGAGCAATAGTGAAAATCAGACCTGAAAAAAATTTCAGGCCTGTACGGGATTCGAACCACTGACCTCTGCGATACTAGTGCAGCGCTCTACCAATTGAGCTAACAAGCCAACTGGGAGCAGGCCATCAAATTAATTCGACATAAACCCGTAGATGATAAATCAAACAACAACAAACATATGAAACATATGTGTGAACTGCGGTTATGAGACGTATATGAGCACGATCCTTCGCAGTAAAGCACTATTTGAGCAATAGTGAAAATCAGACCTGAAAAAAATTTCAGGCCTGTACGGGATTCGAACCACTGACCTCTGCGATACTAGTGCAGCGCTCTACCAATTGAGCTAACAAGCCAACAGGGAGCAGGCCATCAAATTAATTCGACATAAACCCGTAGATGATAAATCAAACAACAACAAACATATGAAACATATGTGTGAACTGCGGTTATGAGACGTATATGAGCACGATCCTTCGCAGTAAAGCACTATTTGAG